GTTTTGTTTTTGCGCACGATGTATTCTCATCGCTTCATAAAATTATTGTAGAACCACTGTAGTCACGTCGACTGTTTTAACGACGTCTTTAGTACCTTTATGGATCTTGAGAGTTTGGGTGGCGTTGCTGTCAATGGAGGCCTCTCTGAGTCATCGGATTTGATCAAAAATATCTTAATTTGTGTTCTGAAGGTGAACGAAGGTCTTAGGGGTGTATATATATATTTATTTATTTATTTTTATCTTGCCATATGACAAACAATATATAGGTTAGGTTTTAGGTTGATATGGTTCAGTAGCCTGTCCTCCTGCCCTCTTTCTGTCTGGGTCACTTGATCTGTGGTTAGGCAACGTGTCTTATCTCAGCAGATAATGACGCAAAATGGTTTCAAAAGATTTGACTCCTACCTGAAACCACTGGCCAATAAAACACGTTTGGATTGAATCAACTCATAAAACTTATCAAGATACGTTTGACTGTTCTTATGCTTTATTATCAAGATACGTTTGACTGTTCTTATGCTTTATTTTCTCTTTCTTACAGCTTGAAATGCTGTTGATGGGTGTTTACCTGGATTGCTTCTGCTGATCAGTCCAATGCTTGGTTTACTATGGGGGTGGTTACTACTATGGACCCAGATTCGGCCCGGCAACCGCAGGGCAAGTTGGGTAATGGTGGCCACGCGCTAATAGGGGCCAATCTGGGTGCTCGGGGAAAGCACTACGTGTGCGGCTCACTTGCTGCGTTCACCAACATCATCGTGACCTTTCCTATTCAGAAAGTGTTGTTCCGGCAGCAGCTTCACGGGGTTCGAGTGACCGAAGCCGTCCGTCAGTTGCAGAGGGAAGGGTTGAGACATCTCTACCGAGGGCTCCTGCCTCCACTGCTGCAGAAAACCACCACCGTGGCCATCATGTTTGGCCTGTATGAGGATTTTTCCCGGTTGCTTTTGCATCATGCCCACAGAAGTGGTGCGCCTGAGCTTGTTACGCGGAGCGTCGCCGCCGCGCTGGCCGGGACGGCTGAGGCTGCCCTTACGCCGTTCGAAAGGGTGCAAACACTGCTTCAGGATCACAGGCACAACGGGCGTTTCAATAACACCGCCCACACCTTCCGGACTCTCCTGCGGGACTACGGTGTGAGGGAGTGCTACCGCGGGCTGGTCCCGGTTTTGTTGCGAAACGGGCCTAGTAACATTCTGTTCTTCGGCTTGCGTGGGCCAATTAAGCAGCAGCTGCCTGATGCCCGAACCCGTATGGGCCACATGGCCAATGACTTTGTGTGCGGCGGGCTGCTGGGGGCAGCGCTGGGTATCATGTTCTACCCTCTGAACGTGGTCAAATCTCGAGCTCAGGCTCAAGTCGGGGGCGAGTTCGTTCCTTGCCATCAAGTGCTGATGACGGTGTGGCGGGAACGCGGCGGCAGCATCGTGCTGCTCTTCCGCGGAGCGACGCTCAACTACCACCGATCTCTTCTGTCGTGGGGGATCATCAATGCAACTTACGAGCTTCTCCTGAAAGTTTTCTGAAGACGGGTGGATGGCGGAGTGCACTTTTTCTGAACTAAGCCAAATTGAGTTTTTTTTTTTTTTACCTCTTTAAAAGAGGTCTGGACACTGCCACCTCCCCTAGTGCACTTAACATCTGCACTTAAAGGGATAGTTCACCCAAAAATGGAATTCTGTCATCATTTATTCACCCTCATGTCATTCTAAAGCTTTCTTTTTTCTGTGGAACATGAAAGAAGATATTTTATTGTTTCTGGTCCCATTGACTACCTAGTAAGTCATACAGGTTTGAGGGTGAGTAAATGATGACAGAATTTCCATTTTTATGTGGACTGTTCCTTTAACATCTGCACTTAATGATCTGTATAATTATGGATGGACACCATCCATGTGCTGATAACTACATATAAAGTCCACCCATATTACTTGGCTACTATAAGTGTTGTGAAATATATCGCCACATGTCCTGGTTCTCATATCAGTTTTTTAGTGGCTCTTTTACTCACTTTTTGGGGGTCTGTGGGACACGGATGGAGAAAGCACAGAGTTGCACTACTGACAGTACATTTCTACTTATTTTCTGTTGTTTTGTTTAAAATACCTGATGCACAAACTCTGGACTGGAGCATTACAAGCCATGTGTCATTGTAAGTGTTACGTGCAGGTTGATCGATGGTTCGTAAATGGGTGTGACTTGTGGACCACACAAAGCGAGAGACGTCTGTACAAGCCCATGATGCTAGTGTTTTTGCCAATCAGTAAAAGTCCTGATGAATTCAAAGATGTGTGATCATTTTCATGAAATGCTATTTTTATGTAACCAATGTTTTGTGACATGAATGACATTTTCACATTGTTGTGGGTGGAAAGTAAACAAGTAATTCCACTTATTGCGTTCTGGGTGTCATTACTGAACCGTTTATGATGCTTCAAAGTCAACATGAGATCAAAACAGACTATTTACTTTATTACTTGTCTGTTATTTTATGTGTAATTTTTTACCTAATATTTGGTCCTTTGTATACCTAAATATTAGGTATATTATTGGTATAAATATTATGCTTATTAGAGTGTCTGTCCTTAGTTTAGCAACATGCTAACACCATTCACTTGACATGAGGAGAGTTATTTGTCTATGGAGCTTATAATATGACAAAACAAATTGAATTTATATTGTGTAAATTTGAATTATTGACAAGTGTCATTTAACAAAACTGAATATTATGTGGCATTTTAACATAGTTCTGAATTTAATTTACACAATACAAATTCAATTAGTTTTGTCATATTATAAGCTCCATATTTGTCAAGGCGGGTGTATTTGCATAATGCTTTTCACAATATACATATTTGAAAGCAGCTTTACAGACTATATTGTAATATGTATCATGATTTTGTTCAAATCACCCATGCTATTGAATAATTCTTTGTGTGTTACTTAAGTTGCATTCAAATCAGTCACTTAGAAGGTTGCATTTGAGTTAGGTTAGGATGCTGCTTTAAAAGTAGTTGTAGACCACTATGCAGCGGACTACATTTTGGAACAGCAATTTTTCTTTCTTTTCAAGCCTTTCATCATTCACACACTTTAAAGCCCTGTACTTAATTATGTGAAGCCGTGCACTTCCCTCCGTTCTGCTCAGACAGTGTTAACCTCCGGGGGACAGAGAAAGACACGGAAACATCCCATCACACAGGGTCAAATGGCATTCAAGGACAGATGCTTTTAGAGCCGTTTGGCAGCACCATCTCAGGGCATCATGTGGGTGGCTTTTCCTTCTCTGAGCCGTGAGTAAATCCCAGGGATTGGTTTGGAAAAATATCCTAAACGATTATAGGTTGATGGAGGCAGTAGACCGGACGTTTTATTTGAATTAAAAACATTTTGATTCTGTAGTGGCTCCTGCTTTCGTACAAATACCTATGTGTTTCAGAATTGCGATACAATTTAAAAACTTGAATAGATTTTTTTGTTTTCTTTAGTAAATTTGAGTAGTGCAAAATTGGCCACCATAACAGGGTAATGTTACATGGTTGCTTGGCTGTTCTGGGTTAAAATATAAAAAAGGTCAATGTCACCTTTAACACAACTCAATGTGGGAAAATAATCAGACAATAATGATATACATTTTGATTTTAAGATCAAATCATGTTTTTCTGACTGCTCCAGGTTGTATACATTCATAAATAAACAAAAAGAATGATTGGTTCTTTTAACTTTAAAGGGTTACTCCACCCCAAAATGAAAATTGTGTCATTAATCACTTACCCCCATGTCGTTCCAAACCTGTTTAAGCTTTGTTTGTCTTCGGAACACAATTTAAGATATTTTGGATGAAAACCGGGAGGCTTGTGACTGTCACATTGACTGCCAAGGAAATAACACTGTCAAGGCCCAAAAAAGTATGAAAGAAATTGTCAAAATAGTCCATCTGCCATCAGTGGTTCAATCTGAATTTTATGAAGCGACGAGAATGTTTTTTGTACGCAAAGAAAACAAAAATAACTTTATTCAACAATTCGTCGTCTCCGCGTCACTGTAGCGCCATTTTAGAGAATATCGACTGAACGTAAACTGCGTATACTGTTCTACTTGTCTGTGTCAGCCGCAGCACACGGATACGTTTTCTACGTTTATTTACGCTTTGATTTGAACGAAAACGGCGTATCCGTGTGGTGCGGCTGACACAACAGCATACGCTATGCGTTCAGTGGACACTCTCCAAAATGGCGCTACGGTGATGCGGAGGAGATAATTCATCCAAAAATGAAAATTCTGTCATCATTTACTCACCCTGACGGTGTTCTAAAACTGTATGACTTACTTTCTTATGCAGAGCACAAAGGAAGATATTGTGAAGAATGTTGGTAACCTAACCGTTGATGGTCCCCATTGACTTTATATGGACAAAAAATACAATGGAAGTCAATGGGAACTGAACCTGTTTGGTTACCAACAAACGACATGAGTGTGTGTAAATAATGACAGAATTTAAATTTTTGGGTGAACTATGCCTTAACTGAGTGTTAAATTACCTAAAGCAAAAGGTTTCCTATGACATTTAAAATTTAAATCGAAAAGGCTACAAAAATATCTTTCAGAGTTACTACAGATTAAAACTTTTCTCTGTTGAAAAGGCACAGATTACAGCGAGCGTGTCTGCCAGTAAACAGCTCCAGCACAATCCCATCATTCCCTCAGTTTGAACTGTGAAAGATTTCGGTTGAGTATAATCCCAGGCCTAATCTGTAATCTCCTGCAAACTCAAATATAGTCTGACAGACAATTTAGTGTTTTAGTAGGTGTGTTAAACTAGAAATCAGACTGTTAGAAAAGACAAAACATTGTAAAATAACACGTCACAGCTTTTGAGATTAAAGCCCCAAAATATATAAAAATCACTCACCAAAATCTCACAAAACCTGTCAAGAGCGTCCAGGTCATATTTTAACCCAAAATCAAAAGAAAGATGTAAGAAATTATATATTTGCCTAAAAGAAAATGAAAAAGCCACACAACACAAAAAAATGCATTAGATCCACAGTATTTGTCATTCAAAATCAAACCTTTATTATCATGAACACAGTAGAGGGAATGCAAACCAGATTCTCGATTGTCCCTTCTCATTTCATTCACATATTTGCCTTTATATTCATGTACAGCCACATTTAAGATTTTATTTTGTGCACTTTGAAACACAATCGTCTGCATACATCTCAATACAAATGGCCCTTATCGTTTTTTTTGCTTCATATTTGCTTCAAATGCAAAGGCAGTTCCATTTAGTCTTCGTCATTCTTAGAACCTTCATATGACAGGAAGATTTAATACAGAAATAAGTTTGCTCTCTGATAGTTCGATATCAAAATGGTTCCTTTGAAAAGACTGAATAATAACAACATATTTGTCTCTTACCTTCTCATGACGTTTCTCTTCATGCAAACTAGCTTTCTGACTTGATAACCACAATCTGGCAGTCTGTGTGTTTATTGGGAGGGATGTGTCCAATTTGGGTGATATTCTTGCCATCTGTAAGCACTTCTCTAATGTCAAGTAATTGAACTGAACAAGGATGATGTCATAATCCATCCACTGACCTCAAGTTTGGTCATGTGATCTGGGCAACTTAATTGTTTATGTATTGTAGGTGCATGTTGCCTTTTGAAACCTGATCTAGAAACAGCCAGTGAGAATTTTCACCCTTTACCTTTCTACGACAAAATACTGGTCTGAGATCAGGAACAAAGGGCAACTGAATCACCAGGGCTCAAGTATTCAAAATTCCAAGCGTAGATCTTTTATAGTCTCCCCAATCATATTTTTTGTGAATATGACAGCCAAATCTAAAATCGTCATTCTTAGACCAGAAACATTCCATGCAAGTGCAGAAATGCAGATTTGAAGGCTTGAACGATGCATTGCAATTGTGCAGTTCTAAACAAACTCAGCACTCAAGGAGGCTTCAGATGTCTTCAGATGTGTTTTTATTCAGGTAGCCAGCTTTAAACATGCTCGGCAAGAGTTTCCTCTGCCATGATAGTAGGCAGTTTATGCCAGTGCTCACTACACCACCCACTGCAATATTGCAAAGAAGGCAACGCAACTTGCTCTGCATTATGTGTTACGCAATGAAATTGAGCTGGTTTCGCCAGAAGAATTTGCATTCACATACTTGCATGGAGTATGTTTCTGGCCTTACTCAAAGATGATTTTTACTAATGAGTAAACTATTTAATGTATGCTAAATATGGTGCTGTTCACCACTTACAAAAGTGGAAGAAAGAACATTTCCAACTGAACCTTTTGTTTAAATAAACAGAAGGCAAAATAAATATATACGCTGTATTTGCATAATGATGCAATCAAACAAGCTTTCACAACAATCTTCCAAGATAAAATATAAGGCCTAGGTTTGTCAGGGAAGTCCTCTAAAGCGAAATATTAGTGATTCATAACAAATGGAAAATTATGTATGTATTAATATGTATAAAATTTAAGAAAGTATAATATGTGGAAAAATGTGGATACAAATCGTGATGCTTGCATAGTCAAAAATGACAGACGAGTGAGAAATTGTGTGGTTTGGCTATCATTGGGATTGGTTTTACAGGGTGCTACAGTAATATAATGACACTGTTGTTGTGTAAATGCCCCAATTGTGCTATTATGTCTTTGGACCACACTGATCTCTGTGGTTAACAGTCTGCTGGTAGGCCAATATAAAAACTAACATCAAAAGCCAAACTTGACACACCGACATACAGGTAGAAAAATGCCAAACTGCCGCACTTCTATTGCCATCAACTCTCATTCTACAGCCAGAAAGGTATCATAGACAAAATGAAGTGAAAGTCCTTTGGATAGTCCTGTGAAACGTTACTGCATAAGTATTTGGGCTTCTTAGTGTTTGTCCCAGCATCTATTGTTAGGGGTTAGTGGAGTGTCCATTCACTTTCTTCCTTCAATCTGTAAAGAGCAGCATGACTAAACTAAACATGAAAACAAGTGAAGCTTCATAACACTGTTTATCTCAGTTATTAGAGCAAGAGGTAGGGATTCACATATACCCAACAAAAAAACAACAAAAAACAAACAAAATACAGGTATAGTCGGTTAGAAACCACGGTGCGCATATACTATATGTAAAAAATAAATACCTACTACATACTGTACATACATCAGGAATTAAAGAACCGTTAGAAAATAGCTATGTCTGAATGCATAATTCCACTACATTTATAGGGAGACTTGGCAAGACAAACAGGTTAACACATAACAGTTCTGACATGTTAGTTTGCTTACTGTGTGTGTACGTTCACGGCACTTACTATTATTCTTGTGTGCCAGCACACAAAAGTTTTTAGATGCCAGAAAGGCATCGCTACGTTAAGTACAATTCTATGCTCACACTCTACAGTCCCTTAAGAGGGTGCCGGAAGGTAAAATTTAAAAGTTCAGAGGTACATTTCCATTGTCTATGTCTGGTGTTCGTGTCCGAAACAGTTGTGTTAGTGAGAAGACGGTTGAAATAAGAACCGTACACTGCTTGGCTAAGAGCCTGACACCTTCGCCCTCTCTAGCCGTCTCTACAGCACCTACAAACTCCTTATACAGGTCCACAATCTCCTCGAGCTTCCTCAAGGCCTCATCTGCATCAATATCCCCATGACACCCTCCACAATCCGAACAGGGAACTCGCATGCAGGTTGAGGTAAGTTGCACTAGAGCTCCAAAACTGTTACCGAGGGATAGAAGAGCATCGTCAGGTGCCCATCCTACCCGTGTGGCTCTCTGACATCCTGACGCCAATCTCCGTGCCTCTGCCTGAACCAGGCATCTTTCTGTCTCTGAAAGCAAATTCCCATTCACATTGCCATTTTCGCATTCCCCCTTGTGGGTTGGAGGGTATACTACAGAAGGTCCTTTCTTCAAAACCAAAAGAAGTTCATCAATATCTCGCTGCAAACAGGCATAGCCGTCTTTAAGCCCTGTACCTTTCTGACCGGTAGCATAATGGTGGCCTTGCAGAAAGTGGAGCGGATTATTTATTGGTCCACGGTCTAAAGGCAGAGATTCCAGAGGTCTGGGTGGGACCAGGAGTGGACTGAGTTCTGAGGATGAGGATAGGGGACGAGGGGAATCTCTGAGTAGGGAGAGAACATTTGGTGAGGGACCAGAGAGGGTTGCAGGGGAAGGAACCGGGGTGGGTTGAGGTGGTTTACTGATCCGGTTTCGACGGGAGAACTCATAAACAGTCAGATCATCATCAAAGCTGCAGTTTTCCTCTGTATCTCCGCTGAAACAGTTGGCATAAACGGTATGGCAGCCACATGCATCATGATGGGAAGGACTTGCGGAGGATAGAGAAGAATCATTGTCAAGTCGAATCTCTGAAGGGTTACCTTTGTGTGACTGAGGTTGTTCGGACCTGCAGGTCCCAAAATGCCTGTGCAACTCGTTAGCTTCTGTGGACAATTTCTGCCTCAGGTCAGGATGGCTTGATGATGTTGGAGGTTTCCTGTTGGTGTCCTTCACGGGAGTTGGGGTCACTTCCTCAGGTCCATCTTTGAGCTTCACAATGACTACTTCAGCATCTTTCTCTTTCCAGTCAATCAAAGATGGCACTGAAGTGGCTTTGGGAGATACCTTCTTGGATTCATGATTAACATCTGTTGCAATGGTTGTTTTATTGCCTGTCGATGAAATAGTGTTGCTGAGTGCTACTGTCCCCAAGATCTCTTGGGAACGGGTGAGGTACCAGGGCATATCCTGAATTTTTCCCCGCAAGGCTGTGGCAGACAGACGTCCGGACGAGCCTGTTCTGCTGGGGAAGCTAGTCCCAGTTTGAGCTGGATCTTCAGGAACAATATTTATAGACTGAACTGAAGGAGAAGGTAAGGGAGATGGAGATGGGGTAGGAGTGGTTGAAGCACTTGTCGGTTTGACTGTAGAGCTTTCAGCCTTTAGTTCAGTTCTTAGGTTCTCATGACTTAGAGAAACACCCTTACTCAGTGTAGAGGGTGGGGAGGTACTGGTACCATTTCTCTGAGACCAGGGGTGTAGAGAAAGACCATTGGGGGGAACTTTTGTCTTTTCCTCAGGTTTTTGTGACTGGGCATTAACTGCCTTTGTGGATGGCTGTAAACCAATGAATGATGGCTTGGGAGGTATTGGGGGCTTTGTGTTCATCTGGGGCACTTTATTTTCTGATTTTCTGGTTTCAAGAGAGTCTGATGATTGTTGTTGTAGAGGACTCTTGCTGTCTGCTGTTATTTTCTCAAATTCAGTTGTTCCTTTGGCATTTGTTGGCTCTTTCTGATTTGGCTTAATATCTTGACTGTCAAGTCCTTCAAGATCCACATGATTTGGAGTAATCTCTTTTTCTAGACTGGCCGGGACCTGGTCAGATATTCCATTTTGTGGTCTGGGTCCATTTTGAACATTCTCTGGGTGTACTAAGGTCTGTTGGGGAAAGGCAGATTGGCGTACAGCCGTAATTAATGAGGAAGACATTGGTGGTCCAGGCCCTGTGACTGGTTTAAACTCCATGGTGTCTGGCTCCATCTCTAGAAGCTGCGATGATAAGTGTGGATTTCGACCAGGGACGTCTCCATTGCAGTGCTGGGCTTTCTGCCCCGTGGAGTGGTTAGCAGATAAAGATTTAGGTTCCACAGGTGTAGGTTTAGGGAGAAAAATCAGTGAGGGCTGATGGACCTCCAGTTCAGGGTTTTTAGACTCAGGGATTGCAGGGGTGAAATGGTTGGCAAGAGAAGGGTTTTCTTTGAGGTTCTCTGGTGTGGCACTGTCCTTCTCTTTTTTGTCTTTGGATTCCGGAGCTTTTGTCTTGTCCACACTAACCTTAAGGTCACTAAAAGAAGGATGTTTGTTCTCAGAATCTGAGGTTTTCTCTGCAAAAGAATAAGAAAGAGGTAAGAGAGACGTGTACAGAAGTTGAAAAAAAACATAAAAAACCTAGATATTGAACATTAAAGGAATATTCTGGGTTCAATAAATGTTAAGATTTATCAACAACATTTTTAACAATGTTGATTACCTTCAAAAACCTATTTTGACAAATTCCTCTTTACAATGCAAGTAAAAGACAGAGAAACTTGTTTTGACGGGTAATGGATTTTATGCTATAAATGTTGTTGATATAGCTTAACTTGTATTGAACCTGGAACATTCTTCTTCGGAATGCACAAATGTTTTGTGGTAAAAATAGATGGTTCACTGACCTGTGAGGCATTTCTCTTTGATGGGAGGGGTAAATCGATCTTGGGCATCAAAAAATTCATCCTCAGATTCTGAACAACTGTCTCTGGAGTCCTTTGATTTTTCAGGGACATTTGTGTTCACAGCTCTCATCAGCACATATTGTGCTGTTAATTTTGAAGATGGTCCCTGTTGTTTAGCTTTATTTGTCTTTTTCTGTGGGAAGCTGTTTCTCTCTTGTCTACATGCTGGATGGTTGTGAATCCTGGTGAAGAGTGCCTGAAAGTTCACTCCTGCTAATTTAGCATTTATGCTGTTAGGGGTACAAGAAGCTAACACAGCCTCAAATTCTGCTGACATGGCGGAAATGCGACCGTCTTTTCCACTGTCTCCTCCTTCATCATCCTCATCCTCCTCACTCAATGCATCATCGCTGGCCGCAGGTGGGCTTGGCAAGCTGTCAGACATTTGTGAGAGCTCAGAGAAGCGCAGAACTGAGTAATCATTGTAGGTCAGGTCTGAAGGTCGTCTGAGTTTGTTTGAACTGCCTCTCTCATCCAAATGCTCTGGCACCTCCAGGAGGAAAGGGTGGTGGACATTCAGACTCGATGCACCAGAGACAAGACCAGAACTGGGTTTCTCTTCCAGAGACACATCCATATGACCAAGCCCACCAATGGCTGCCTTAATACTCTCCTCCAGTGCATTTAGCGAGTTACTAGACAAACTGGAAAAGCTGCTGTTGACTCGAGGGTCCGAGTACCAACCTGTCTCCAAAAGGGAATCCATTGTCATGGCATAATCCTCATCTCCAACAGACTCTCTCTTGCTCGCCTCATCTCCTTCGACCTCTAAAAAGGGATGCATTACAATCACTCTGACCTTTTCTGCATCTGCTTCACTTTTCCCCTCAGCTTCCTCTCCTTCCTCCGTGCCATCATTTGTATGAGTGGACATAGTGTCCTCTGACAGCTGAGTGTCCAGCAGTCCCTCCATGGCGTAGTCATCCTCTGAACTGTCTCCTGAATCACTTCCACACCGATAAACATACCCTATGCATAACAAACACATTAAACATAACTTATATAGCATTTAGTATAATATATTGTAAAATGTATAATATAATGTAACCAATAAATCCCATAGTAGTACAGTGGTGTTCTTGGAAGTACCATGTAAACACCAAGGTTCATGATTTTCAGTATATTTCAAAGTACCATAGTCTAATACCATCACTGAACAATGGTACCACCACAGTAATTTTTTGACTGATTGAATTTGAGTAAATATTTTGTCCTCATAAGTTGCAACCACTACATGCAGTGTGCAACACTTTGTCTCTTGCTTGGTTTTTATTTTTGTGGCATTGTGCTGGGTAGCCAAGCCATCCGATCAGTGTTATTTTAGTATTATTTATGTACTAGTATTTATTATTTTGAATTAGCTGCTATTTTTATATTTTCAACTAGTATTTGCTTTATAGGCCAAACCTGAAAAAAATGGCACCATCTGGTAAACAATAATTAAAAATGTAATTTTAAAGCCTTGCCAACAGAATGAAAGCCTATAAACAAAAATTGCATCATTTTACAGTTAAATGGAACTGCGATTAAAAATAGCAGTTTTAATGGGTTTCAAGGGGACATTTTTGTCCTTAAAGGCAGAGTGAGGGATTTCTGGTAGCCACTGTTTATATTTGAAATCACCAAAACAAACACGCCCCTA